ATGTGGACGTAATGCTGAAGGGAGCAATATATTTGAAGTTGGATGAAGCGGTTGTCGGTTGTGTTGACTATATTTTGCAGCATATATCTGAGTATACACTGCAGCGGGCATATTGCATAGAGCGTGAAACTCGGTGTGTACCACTGTATGAGAAACTCTTGGAATATGAAATAAATAATTTTATGGAGGTGAGTCATATTGCTTTTCCTTGGTGTCATACTATGTATTCCACTTGCTTACGTGTACTTTATATGATTTTTGTTTTCAGATAAGCCAACGCCCGGAGTTTCTCAGTTTTGATGCTGAAAAATTGCAGGCAATAATAGAAAGCAGTAATTTGAATGTGACTTGTGAGGAAGATGCCTTTCATGCTGTGAAGCAGTGGTATGAATACGATGCTTCTGGGCGGCAACAAAAACTTCCAGATTTAATCAGTAGCTTACGCTTGACCCTTTTTGACACAAAGTTCTTATTGAGAAATGTTAAAACACTTCCTGGATGTGAGCCATTGGCATTCAAGGCAATATCCTGGATTTCGCTTCCTTCAGACCGTGCAATGATATCGATAAAGTACACAGAACCTCGCAGAAGTATATGCAAAATGTCGGCAGAGACAACTTTGCTTGCGGTGGAAGCTTATGTAAGTGCTACAAAATGGTAATTGCATTGTGTATTTTCGATATTTATTATTATTCAGCCATAAATATTAGAAGAATAATGGCTTACCAGAAGCCTTCATCCAACGGGAAAACTATCGCTTATTTCCAAATTAAAATTTTACCGAACAAAATTTTTGAACTAAGAACCGTAGGAATTACAAAGTCCAAGTCTGAAGCCGAATAGCTGAGAGCGTATACTTAAAAAAAGAAACGCTTCTTTCTTAGCTTTTCAATTCAGTGATAATACTTTCGAAATTCTGCATTGTACAAAAGTCGCAAGAATAATCACCAATGACCAAAAAGAATTTAAAAGCAACTACTAAACCATTGAACAGTTTCAGTGTTTTTTAAAGACTAGATTTTTGAAGAAATTCTACACTGGATAACTTTGGTTCCTAACTTCTGGAACTAACTTCTTTTTTGTATCGTGTTATGGGCTATGCCACCCTCTCTGAATTTTAGTCGGGTATTGAATTTTCTGTCGAAACAGAATTTTGCTTTCGGTGCTGTAGCGTAGTGTGACAAAATTGCTCAAAATGTAAGTATTTTGGGTTTTTTTTGTTACTTGTTGGCGACAAAATAATAATACATTTTTGTTTTAATTGCATGCAGGTCTAAGGTAGTGATTACCAAACAACTGAAAATGCTGTTTTTACTGATGGAAAACAGAACAATCAATTTGCAAAAAGGATTTGGTAAAAGGTTCAGGTTGCAAAAAATGGGAACTCAATTGTTTAGGACCACTTTTAAGAACGGCAGCAAAGTAGATTGAACTAAAGTCGTTGTTTTTTTTGTCAGTGTTATTGTGGCTTATTAACATTTTTTATTTTTAATATTTTTATTTTNGTGAAGCAGTGGTATGAATACGATGCTTCTGGGCGGCAACAAAAACTTCCCGATTTAATCAGTAGCTTACGCTTGACCCTTTTTGACACAAAGTTCTTATTGAGAAATGTCCAAACACTTCCTGGATGTGAGCCATTGGCATTCAAGGCAATATCGTGGATTTCGCTTCCTTCAGACCGTGCAATGATATCGATAAAGTACACAGACCCTCGCAGAAGTATATGCAAAATGTCGGCAGAGACAACTTTGCTTGCGGTGCAAGCTTATGTAAGTGCTACAAAATGGTAATTGCTTTGTGTATTTTCGATATTTATTATTATTCAGCCATAAATGTTAGAAGAATAATGGCTTACCAGAAGCATTCATCCAACGGGGAAAACTATCGCTTATTTCCAAATTAAAATTTTACCCAACAAAATTTTTGAACTAAGAACCGTAGGAAGTACAAAGTCCAAGTCTGAAGCCGAATAGCTGAGAGCGTATACTTAGAAAAAGAAACGCTTCTTTCTTCGCTTTTCAATTCAGTGATAATACTTTCGAAATTCTGCATTGTACAAAGATCGCAAGAATAATCACCAATGACCGAAAAGAATTTAAAAGCAACTACTAAACCATTGAACAGTTTCAGTGTTTTTTAAAAACTAGATTTTTGAAGAAATTCTACACTGGATAACTTTGGTTCCTATGTAACAATGGAACTAACTTCTTTTTTGTATCGTGTTATGGGCTATGCCACCCTCTCTGAATTTTAGTTGGGTATCGAATTTTCCGTCGAAACAGAATTTTTTTTCTTTCGGTGCTGTAGCGTAGTGTGACAAAATTGCTCAAAATGTAAGTATTTTGGGTTTTTTTGTTACTTGTTGGCGACAAAATAATAATACATTTTTGTTTTATTTGCATGCAGGTCTAAGGACGTGATTACCGAACAACTGAAAAGGCTGTTTTTACTGATGGAAAACAGAACAATCAATTTGCAAAAAGGATTTGGTAAAAGGTTCAGGTTGCAAAAAATGGGAACACAATTGTTTAGGACCACTTATAAGAACGGCAGCAAAGTAGATTGAACTAAAGTCGTTTTTTTTTTGTCAATGTTACTGTGGCTTATTAAAATTTTTTGTTTTTTAATATTTTTATTTTATTGAGCTTTGTACCACGATTGTTTATTAGGAAAAATTGAAAAGGCAACAAAGTCTAAGCGGTAGAAGTTATAGCAGATATTTCGGAGATCACCACTTCTCCTCGTCAGACTTCTTTTTTTCTAGACTTCAGCAGGCATCGAACCTGCGTAATCGATGTTGAAAGTCAGAAGCGTTAACCACTGAGCTATATACATCCCGTAAACTCTTGTTGTAAATTCATTTTTCCTCATTCAACCAAGTACTATCAAGTGCAGCTGATTTACCGCTATTTAAACTCGACAGCGTGGTTGTTGTTGTCAATTCTATACATCCATTTGCTTATTTGCTTTTTTGTATAGTTTCAGGCAGGCTCTTCCTAAACTATGTATTTGTCAATGTTATTGTGGCTTGTTAACATTTTATTTTTAATATTTTTATTGAGCTTTGTACCACGATTGTTTATTAGGAAAAATTGAAAAAGCAACAAAGTCTAAGCGGTAGAAGTTATAGCACTATTTCGGAGATCACCACATCTCCTCATCAGACTTCTTTTTTCTAGACTTCAGCAGGGATCGAACCTGCGAATTCGATGTTCAAAGTCAGAAGCGTTAACCACTGAGCTATGTACATCCCGTAAACTCTTGTTGCTAATTCATTTTCCTTATTCAACCAACTACTATCAAGTGCAGCTGATTTGCCGCTATTTAAACTCGACAGCGTGGTTGTTGTTGTCAATTCTATACATCCATCTGCTTATTTGCCTTTTTGTATAGTTTCAGGCAGGCTCTTCGTAAACTATGTATTTTTCAATGTTATTGTTGCCTTTTCAATTTTTCCTAATAAACAATCGTGGCACAAAGCTCAATAAAAAAAAAAATAAAAATAAAAAAAATGTTAATAAGCCACAACGCTTCCGACATCTTGTGTATACCCCAATTAAATTAATTTAAATTATTTCACTTGTTTCTTTATATATACAGGTTGAATTCAAAAACCTTACACAAGTCCATCCCACATTTTCATCTGTCATTGGAAGTCCTTCACATAGCTCATATTTTTTTCTGTTGTGTTTGTGTGTTGTGGTTTCTCATTTAGATTAGTCCCGTATCCATGGATGTTGCTACTTTCCTTATTTGCGGATTGTTAAGAGATTCCACCTTCGAATATAAAGTTGTCTTTGCCTTATTTATTTAAGATTTTAATAAAATTAACTCGAAAATTTCGGCGCCGTGTGTCTTTCGCTTTCAGTGTTACCGATTTGCTCAATTTGAAAAAAAAAAAATCGTCACAGCTGACAGNTAAAAAAAAAAATAAAAATAAAAAAAATGTTAATAAGCCACAACGCTTCCGACATCTTGTGTATACCCCAATTAAATTAATTTAAATTATTTCACTTGTTTCTTTATATACAGTTGTCCACAAAATAATAGGAGTGGGATATTTTAACCTGT